ATATAATTTTATATCAATACATATATTAAAGTGCATAAAGTGCAACTGAATAGTTGCCAGTTGTTTTATATTGCTTGCTCTTAGAACATTACTTAGTATGAAACAGGTTCTTAATATACATTTGTTGAGTTCAATTTCACATTGTTCTGTATCCTATCTATCTCCATTCCACTGTCAGGAAGACTGTTTCAAAGCACATATTAATCCTTCAGTAATAAATTTTCATTGAAAAGGGATACAGTACAAACTACTTAGCCATACTAATCATGACTGAGCCATAATCTATCTTTACAGCTTTTTTTCCTAGAATGTCCTATCATCCTCTTTGAAGCTATATGATTCCTTGTGGTACATGGAATGTATCATACACCCTCTCACTTCTGAGTTTTTAAATATATTAGTGCTCCTCCTGTTTCTTCCCCAGTTTGCTAAATGCTTCCTAATCTTAGTTCAAGTATCTATTCATATTGAGCTTATAACTTGATCTTCACAAACCAAGTGTCTCTTCTCTGTGCTCATTATTATCCTATGCTCATCTCTACTGTAGCACATAGTACACTATGGTAATAACTACTATCTTCTTTTCTTTCTTTATTCTATTATATAGTAAAAGATGTATTATTTATCTGAACTTTTTAAAGTTCCTTAATGATATAAATGATATTTTATTTATTTCAGTATTCTCAAAACTTCATCAAGTCCCCAGTACTTAGGAGATACTCAATAAATGTTTCTTAAATTAAATAAATCTACTAGAATATTTTGAATTTAACAGTAAGAATACCTATGAGAAATTTCTTCATCCATTTTTGAGTACCTAACAAATATTAGCTTTGAAGACTAAATGTAAAAAAAATTTCGTTTTTCCTTCTTTGGAATATATGCTAATATGAGCAAAGGCTTCTTCCACAGCAGATAAGGGGTTAAATTCCCAGTTGCTTACCAACAGCTAGTGCAAAAAGGAGTTAACAAGAATTCCTCTGTCTTATCCAAAAGATATCTCAATACTCCTCTAGAAGAAATATAGAATTGTCAAGGTTTCTTAATGAACCTAAGAAGAACAAACATTGAGTTTTTTATTTTCTACAAAAGTAGTTACATCTTAAACCTGAACTAAAAAAAATTCAAATTCTAAACTTCGTTTCAGTAATTTTAGAAAGTCCTCTCTCGTACTGTGCACTCTTTCCTCTTATTGACCCCTAATGAAGACTTACAGTTCATAAGAATTCATAAGTCCATAATGGAGTATTCTTTTGTAAGCCAAGAGGAGACTCACAAAGAATAACAATGATTTCTGAAGAATGGAGGGAGTTATGAATGACAGTTTTATAGATTTGTCAACTAGAAAGGAGAATGAAACTGTGTAGTTCCTCTATTTATGGATGAAGCTAATAATTTCATGGCTAGCTGTGACATTATGATTAGGTTTTTGTCCAATGATCCTAGCTCATAACTTACACAACCCTTGTTATAGTCTTTCGTTACAATGTTAGGGTGCTTTAGTCCTTGGAAGCAGGCCTCAGGAAACAGCCTCTCTTTCTAACTTTCTCCTGCCCTCCTCTCACTTCCTGAAGACAAGTCTCTAACATGACTATGGGTCATCAGCCCTTCATTCCAGAGTAGGGTCCTGCTGCATACTCTGGAGGAAGGAATGCTGCACAGAATGACCAAGAAGAATCTGAACAGACAGGACTTGCTGGGTTTAGATCATACCCTTTTTGTACAATCACATTTTGACAGGGCTGTCCATACTTCAATCACATACAACCAATGAAGTATCCAAAGAAGGCCCAAAGGACGGGGTTCAGGGAACTTCTGGGAGCTGAACATGTAGAGACTGACAGAAAGATGAAGAACTCATCCACATGCTGGGAGGGTGGTGCACCCCAACTCCATGAAGACAGAAGCTCCTGTACTCAGGACTCTTCCAGACCTCACCCTTTGTGTCTCTTCATTTGGCTGTTTATATCCTATAAAACATCCTTCAAAATAAACTTGTAAAAGTTAAGTATTGGTTCCCCTGAGTTCTATGAGCCACTCTAGCAAATTAATCAAACCCAAAGAGGGGGTTGTGGGAACTCCAACTGGAAACCAGAAGTTCTGGAGGCCTGGACTTGCAATATGGGGAGGGGAGAGGGTGGTCTTATGGGATTGAACCCTTTACTTGTGGGATCTAACACTATCACTGAGTATATAGTGTCGGAACTTAATTGGAGGACATCTAGCTGGTGTCCACTGCTTAATATGTGGGGAGAAACCCACACACATTTGATCACAATTGTCAAGTTTTCTTAATGAAGCTAATCACAAAATAAGAAGAATAAACTCTGAGAGTTTTTTGTTTTTTTTTTTTTTTTACAAAAATGGTTATGCCTTAAACCTGAATGGAAAAAAAAAAATTCAAATTCTAAACTTCAATTCTCTTTCTCCTGTTCTCTTATTCTGTGTTGATGATTATTATTGTGGTGTGAGAATAGAAGAAACACAAGGATTGAGGGTTTTCCAAAAATATTAGAATATTAGATTTCAGAGTTTCACAGGCTAATTTTTTTTTTTAATTTAGAAATAATTTTTTTTTTTTTCTTTCAAGAACGTTTCAGGATATTTATTTTATAGGTTGGAAAACTGCTATTCTCTACTAAGAAAATAATTCTTAACAATGAAGGTTGTAATTAGAAACAATATAGCTCTTTTAATCCTTACGATCATTACTTCACATTATGCAGAGAAACAAGGTTAGTGTCAATACACTGGTTAAGCTGGTAAGTATTAAATACTATATTGATCAACAACTAAGCAGATTATGCCCACAAAATCAGCTTCAAACTCCTTTGAAGGCCAGTGGGGTGGCAGGTGAAGTAACTCTAGCCATCCAAAGAGGCAAAATAAGATCCCCCACTTTCAACTGCCTGTGCAGAAGTAATTTAACATAGCAGGCCTGAAGCTGTTATCTTCAGAAAGGTTTAGATGCAAGGTTGTCCTTTGGCTAATAATGTGGTTTGGCTCTGTGTCCACACCCAAATCTCATGATGAATCATAACTTCCAATGTTGGGTGAGGGACCTGGTGGGAAGTAACTGGATCATGGAGGTGGACTTTCCCTATGCTATTCTTGTGATAGTGAGTGAGCTCTCATGAGATTTGATGGTAACAGTATATGGCACTTCCCGTACTTGTTTGCTCTCTCCTGCCACCTTGTGAAGAAGGTGCTTGCTTCTCCTTTGCCTTCTACCATGATTGTAAGTTTCCAGAGGCCTCCCAGTCATGCTTCTTGTTAAGACTGTGGAACTGTAAGTCAATTAAACCTCTTTTCTTCATAAATTACCCAATCTCAGGTAGTTTTTTTTTTTTTTTTTTTTTTTTTTTTGAGATGGAATTTTGCTCTTGTTGCCCAGGCTGGAGTGCTATGGCGTGATCTCAGCTCACTGTAACATCCGTTTTCCGGGTTCAAGAGATTCTCCTGCCTCATCTACCCGAGTAGTTGGGATTACAGGTATGTGCCACCATGCCTGGCTAATTTTGTATTTTCAGTAGAGATGCGGTTTCATCATGTCGATCAGGCTGGTCTTGAACTCCTGACCTCAGGTGATCCACCCACCTCAGTCTCCCAAAGAGCTAGGATTACAGGCATGAGCCACTGTGCCCGGCCATCAGGTAGTTCTTTATAGCAGTGTAAGAATGGACTAATACAGCTGGCATCTGGGAACCTGGCTTTTGAGAACCTTTCCTAACTGATAAGGCTGTGCCTGCTTGTGCCAGCCCACTTAAGACTGTATAATGAGATTTACGACGTACATCTTTCCTTTTGAGAGAGTCTGGAATTGTGGTTGATAAGAGGTGCCTATGAGACCAATCCTCAATTTAAAAAAACCCTGAACTCTGAAACTAAAATGGAGTTCCTGATGTACTGCACACATTACTGAATTTTAAAGTTCAGGAGAAAAGGTATATAGGAAGGCTAAACACCACAGATTCCTCTAGACTCCTCCTGATGTCTTCTTCCATTAATAATCTGGCTATGTATCTTTAACATGTCGTTGTAATAAATCTTAGCTATGAGAATGATTGAATGCTGAGCTGTATGAATCGTTCTGGGGAATCACAGAACATGTAGGTGAAAATGGAGACTTCTGAAACACTATTAGGTAAAGACATTAAACAAGGAGAGAATCCTATCATCATCATTTCACAAAAAGTATATGTTAATAAAATTCTTCTCTTTACACTGATTGTATGGAAACATGGAACATAATATCAGAATGGAAGGCAGAATTTTAAATGGCATAAATGTAGCATTACGAGAAATTTATCAAACTTATTTTTTCTCATTTTGTTGCAGATCAGTGAAAATCTCATCGTGAACCAGTAACAGACATGTGCTTAAGAACTATGAGGTTAATTTTTGCCTGGATATGTCTTTCCACCAATTTACTTTCTTCTGAAACTGAAATTACTAAAAAGAAATGTTACGTGTACAGGAATAATTTTGAAAGCTGAAAAATTTAGTAAATCATTAAAAATTTCACTGAAATAGTGTATTTTTAACTGTTATAAAGAATGGAAGAGTATTATAAATTAAAAACAAATTTATTTCTAGAATATTTTAAGATTTGTAAAGTTTTCCTGCCAGCCAAATAACAATGTAAAAAACACCAAAACCAAACAAATGACAACAGTCATACTTCTTTGTCATAAAACTGCTTTTATAGTTATTTCTTCATTTATAGTGATATTTTAAAATTATTTATGGAAGACAACATTTATAATCTTTCACAATAACCTGAAAAGGAGCCCATCAAATCAACTCCTCCTATAGGGTGCAGTATTTTTTAAAAAACCACAAACAAAAATTTCAAATTTCATCCATTACTATATACCTGTGTTTCTGTAATTATAGTTCTTCAGAGCAATTTCTAACAATACAACATTTTTCAGATGCAAAAGGCTCTAAAATTCCACATACCAAGATAAAAATATACTTTCAAAACCAGAACCACATACCTTTTGCTGTAATTCTTTTACTGCAGAATCTCTATCCATGCATGCCTGCCGGAAGGCTTCATATGCTTTATTGAGTTGCTCACCAATGTTTTTATCCATTCCTCTTTGTTCTGTAGCATCACTATAAAGGATGGAGTAAATGACAGGTCTGCAAAATGATCAGGACAATTTAGATAATTACTAAGTTACATAAATCTCATTTTAAAAATACATCTTAAAGATGATCTATAAGGTTTACAACAAACATTATAGCACCAAGTACTATAAACATAAAAGTTTCATCTAAAATCCTGACTGGAAATATTATAAAACCTTAAGTTCTATAATTTTTAAATATTCTTATTCTAATGTGCAAGGAACAAGTGGGGTTCCAGTTCAGGAAGATGCTACTTTGAGAATAGTAATCTATAAATCTAACCTAAAAATGAGGAAATATGAAAGTCCATTTTAAATTCTTTATCATAAATATGTACAATAGGATCATCAATGTGGGAAGGGATTCGTTTTACTAAATGGACTCTTACTCCCACTTATGAGGTGAATTCTTGCTACACTGAAATTAGAGCAAAATTAAATAGATAATAAATGTTTGTGGATGGAGTTCACACTGTTGTTATCACAGAGCAATTAAAACGTGTGAAAATGCTCTTATTTTAGCACAAAATCTAGGGATAGCTGCTGTTGCATTGTACATTAAAAAAGAAAAATCACATCCCTTCAGTCCTACCCCCACTACCTATTAGTTTTCCAACTTCCCTGCTGTTTCTGAATACAGGTGATTTGCTCAGTGGAGGTAATTTGGTTTTATAATCTCAGTTTGCATAACATCTTTTAATGACATTCCTTGGCTTTGAGCAGAAGGCTGACTAATGACTCTTGATTCTTCCTAACTGTAAAAACCACAACACAGGATATTTCTCTTAATCCTCTAAAAGCCACAGACTAGACAAAGTTCTCTATTAGTTATATTGGGTACCAAGTTATTTCACATATCTCAAAATTCTTCATAATGTCAATCTCTAATCTGTCATAACATCTTTTGTTATGTCTTTGGGCATGGAGTTTTTTAAATTTGCACATTTTCAACTGAGATACAATTCATAAAGTATAAAATCCACTATTTTAAAGTGTATACTTTGGTATTTTTTAGAACATTCATTATATTGTGCAACCATCATCATCATCTAATTCTAGAACATTTTAATCACCCTCCCTAAAAAAGTCCATACCTATTAAGTTAGTCCCAATCTCCTCTTCCCCCATCTCCTAGAAACCATTAAACTGTTTTTTGTCTCTATGAATTTGCCTATTTTTGACACTGCACATAAATGGGATAATATATGGTTTTTGTGTCTGGCTTCTTTCATAAAGAATAATATTTCTGAGGTTCATTCATGAAGTAGCATGTAACAGTACTTGATTCTTTTTTATGGCTAAATAATATTCCATTGTATGGATACACAACGTGTTGTTTATTCCTCAGGTGATGGACATTTGAGTTACTTCCACCTTTTGGTTACTATGAGTAAAGCTACCATGCACACTGTGTATACATTTATGTGTGAACACATTTTCAGTATTCTCAGATATACAGCTACAAGTGGAACTGCTGAATCAGACGGTAATTCTATGTTTAACTTTTTGAGGAACTGCCAATTTCCATAGAAGCCGTACCATTCTACATTTCTACTAGCAATGTGTAATGGTTCCAATTTCTCCACATCAACACCAATAGTTCTTATAGTCCATTTAAAAACATTACAGGCATCCTAGTGGGTGTGAAGTGGTACTCTATCATGGTTTTGATTTGCAGTTCCCTAATGACAAGCATCTTTCCATGAACTTATTGGCTATTTGTGTATCTCCGGCAATTTATCCATTCAGATCCTGTGTCACTTGTAATAAGTGGATTATTTGTCTTTTTGTTATATTTTAGAAGTTATTTATGTATTTTAGAAACTAGACCATTATCTGATATATGATTTGTAAGTATTTTCTACCATTTTGTAGATACCTTTTCACTTCCTGATAGTGTCCTCTTACACACAATGTTTTTAATTTTGATACAGTCCAATTTACCTTTTTGTTGTTGTTGTTGCTTATATATTGGTGTCATATCTAAGAAACTGTTGTCTAATCCAGGGTGATGAAGAATTTTATAATTTAGGTTTATAATTTACATTTAAGTCTATGATCTATACTGAGTTAATTTAGTATAAGGTGTGAGGTAGGGGTCCAGATTCATTCTTTTGCATGAGGTTAGCCAATTGTCCTGGCATTATCTGTTGAAAGGGCTATCTTTTTCCACTGAATAGCCTTGACACCCTTGCTAAAAATCAACTGATCATAAATCACAATATTCTTTTAAATACCCACATACAAGTAATCATTCAGCCAAAGTCTTTCATTCTAAGATATAAATACATTTATAAGTAATTTACCAGGCTTAATAAAAACAATGCCAGGGTTTTAGATAACAATGTCATTACTTTCTGAAAAAAACTGAAGAAATGGCAATTTTTATTTATTTTTTTTTTTTTGAGACAGAGTCTCCCTCTGTCTCTCAGGCTGCAGCACAGTGGTGTGATCTTGGCTCACTGCATCCTCTGCTTCCTGGGTTCAGGCAATTCTGCTGCCTCAGCCCCCTGAGTAGCTGGGATTAGAGGTGTGCACCACCAAGCCCAGCTAATTTTTATATTTTTAGTAGAAACAGGGTTTCACCATGTTGGTCAGGCTGGTCACAAACTCCTGACCTCAGGTGATCCACCTGCCTTGGCCTCCAAAAATGATGAGATTACAGGTGTGAGCCACTGTGCCTGGCCAGAAATGGCAATTCTTTATGCATTGCACTTAGGAAGTTAGTTTCTACTGATACTCTGGTAGATGAAAAAGTTGAAATCCTATTAGGATAATTAATGTTGCTAGGATCTTTGCCCAGACATAGACACTATGAAAACATAAGCAATTAACATTAATATAAAGCATCACTTTGAGTATTTCAGACACTACTTCATTCAAAAACATGCTAAGGCTACTTAAAATAAATACATGAGATTAAAAATAAATATGCAAAGAGGAAAGGAAAAGCAAGTACAAGTAGTTACAGGGACTATAATATACTATAATACACTAATGCAGAAATTAGAGGTTTTAAGTAGCTAAGTGGCTAAGTTATGAATTACTGCCTTAAAAAGCTGCATGTCATACAAAATTGTCAATGTAAACCATACCTGTACTTTTAGATCTGGGTCAAATAAGAATCTTTAACTGGAAATCCATCTAGTTCCTTGCTTTGTTCTGTTACTGACTGACCCTTAGTTAAGAACCACTAAATCTTTTGGGACCAAAGTTTCTTTTTCTTCAGTATGAAAAAGATGTTTGGACTCAATTTCTAACAAACTTCCTTGTTCTACAGTTCCTGAGTCTGTGAGTTAAAAATGCATGTCTGTTCCATCAAGAAGGTACATTCTTGTTTTTAAAAATGTAAATGCAGCTCTAAAAATAGCTGCATCATATGCAAGTAAATCATGTGCAGCCATCACTTCAGGTCCTTGAATTAGATCACACAAATGTCACTAGGAGAGGAGCTACTGAGTAAATTCCAAATGGATGCATCTTATTTCCTGAAATAAGAATGTATGCTGAAAAAATAAGTTCCAGGTTGATACAAACAAGTAAATGATACTTTTAATTCATATTTTACAACCAAGAAGAGAATTAGGTGTCAGATCAGTGATGCTGACCAGAAAATAAGGAAAGTCTCTGGGACTCAGTTAATTAAACTGGACAGATTTCAAATATTAACACCCCGAAATTTAAAGCTATTTGTTTCTTTCTTTATTTATTTTTAGCATTTGTTAAGCATAAAATTAAAGAGGCAGCTACATTTCAATTACATTTCAGTACACCTCCTGCAAAATCTGACAGACTCCAGGAGAATGCTTTATATTTATAGAAAGCATGCTCAAACCCAAATCTCATGGACAAGCTCCTTCTCCAAACCCAGGAGGCTGAAGCTATAGCAATCTCTGTCTTGAAAACACTCTTCTACTTAGGGTTTTGCTTTATTTCTGGATTTGGTTTGCTAGCTTCCTTCCACTACATGAGAAAAAAATTCTGACATCCCAAAAGGTAACACGGCTAGCTCAATGCAAATCACCACCCAACCTTGCCCCCTGCAATTCTTCTGAAGCCTGGATACTCTCATCTACCCACTGTTGTCCCTCTAGGAGTAATTCCTTTTTTCCTACACAGACCAGTGGTTCAAACAAGCAAAACTGAAGGCAGCAGGTTCTTGTCCCACCTCTCCAGCCCAGTGATTGCCCGTTGTGTGCCTGTCCACGAAGAAACACCAAGAAAATCCTTGCTTCCTCTTTCATTGATCCTTGGTTCAATAATGAAACTATCCTGGGGTAGGAGAGGCAGCATGAGCAAGAAAGATAATTTTCTCTTCCTTTGATAAAGCTTCCCAGCCCTAACAAAGCTTTGATTTTAATAAAATATATCCCATTACCATTCAATTCAATTAGAACAAAGTATTTGCTGGCTTATTACGTATAAGGCACCATCTGGGGAACAGCAAGGGATTCAGATATAGTGCTATCTTAAAGTTATGTTTCTTTCACAAAGTATTTTCACCAATTATTCATTTCCTATTACATACTAATATTCCTGTTTGACTGATAAGGCTCAGAAGGCTTAAACAACTTACCTATACCTATAAAGCTGTGTTACAAACTAGATTAAATCTTCAAAATTCTTGGTTCAAGGATTGTTCATTAAAGCCAGCTGCAAAGTACTCTCCCAGAGTGTTATGGTCAACATGCTTACTTGAGCAGAAGTGTACCACTTATGCAGTGAGAACAAAACAGACATGAAATCTCCCATGAAGGCACCATTAACTGTAACTTGAAGTATATAGTATATAAATATCCTGAGATATCCAAAAGGCTATAGAGTTTGGAGAGGAAAGTTCATCTGTTTATGAAGTTTAGGAAAGGCTTTGAGAGATAGGTGGTATTTGAATAAGGCTTTGAAATATAGGTGGTAATGATCTTACCCATTCCTTTTATTTAGTTATCAAACAGCAGTCATCCTTTTTCAAACAAGTTTCCCACTGCTATAAAGATGTTTTTAATATTAAATAAT